TAATTACCAACATTTGTGGACTATAATCTTTATTGGCAATTCATAATTCTAAGTTTCAAATTTGAAATAATATATTATAAGATAAAAACTATGAAAAAGTATAAGAAATATTTAAAAATTATATCAAAATAAATATTTTTATGTATAAAATAAAATTTTAAAATTATATATATAATGTCGGGTTGGTTTGGTCTCGGGTTGTTTTTTTTTAGTTAAAACCAAACCAACCCAAATATAGTCGGGTTTTTTTTTCAAAACCAAACCACTAATCGGATTTTTTTTTTGTTTTGCGATTTGGTTCGATTTTGTACACCCTTGTATTAGCCAGCTATTTTAGTATAACTTGTTTGCCAGTTTCCATGTATAATGTTCATATAGTTTGTACTGGTTGGGTTGTGGGGTGGGGGTTGACTAATGGGGGATTGGAGGGAGGGGAATTTCCTTCTTGCAAAAATAATACTTGGTTTGTTTTAGTTATTTATTCCGTTTTAATTTGTTTGTCATATTTTGACTTGATATAGAGCTTTAAGACTAAAACACTTTCGAATGTTGTGGTCATAAAGTAAAGAAATATCAAATGTATTAAAATGTCTTTTAATATTATAATTTTAAACATATCAGGTTGAAAGTTAGAATTAAGGAGTTGCTAAAAAACAGTAAGAAACAGTTTGTTTTAAAACGAATTTAAAAGGAAAGTAAAATAAAAATTTGAAACGGAGGAAGTACTTTTGGACCGTCACTTTTTATTTTTATCATAAGTTTTTTTCAAATATTTTACAGATATGCTGATTATTAAAGATTTTATATCTAAATTCACATTAAACATTAGTTACTTTGACATTTGTACTTAAAATCAAATCAAACAAATTGAAACGGAAGAAGTATTTAATAAGCAAAAATGAATTTATTGATTATTACCTTTCTTATTTGGATATGACTTACTCCATATCGAAACAGTATAAACAATTTTTGCACAATCAATGAAATTTAGTATGCATAAAAGGTAACTTGTGTTATTTTATGAGTTTCTAGTATTACTTCTCAAGCATAGATATCATTAATTACTTTTTAGGTGATACGATGGTCTAAGGAAAAAGATTTTGTTATCAATATATAGAAGTTAAATATTTTATATATTCTAATTTATGTGTCATGCGTTTTTTAGATTTTTAGATTTAAGCTCGAATTACTTTTTTTCCTTTTTCGCTCTTTCTTTGTGTGATTATTTTTTCAAGAACTATAGTGGGTGAGATAGGGTGGTGGCTAATTCGGCCATGGGATGATCAATGAGTGAGAGTTGGGGTATTGAATTTGGATGAAGCTCTATTGGCTTTATAATTAATTTTTTATTTTCTTATTACAACCATTGATATATTTTCTTTCAACTTTTTCTTGTTAATTAGGAAGGCCAAACACCAAATGACAAATGTTGCAAAGTCTATAATTTTTACTTGAACAGTATTGATTTGACACACTCCTTAAGAAATAATAAATAGTAAAATGATAATTTTACTATATCTTTCTTTGAATATAATAAATTTAATTTTTTAAAATGTACCTATAATTATTAATAATAAGGGTAAATTAGAATTTAAGTCATAAATTATCTCTTAACTTTTTAAATTGAATAAGTAAAAATAAAGATTTATTTTTAGTATAGAAATAAGTAAAAGTAGTAAGGGAGTAAGTACTATAGTTCAATGTTAAAAAGATAAAAGCGTGTTTTTAAAAAAAATGGAGTGTGTAACTTCTCATTTTAATTCTGTGATAAATAAAATAATGTCTTGAATTTTTCTACAGTTAAATTTGGCAAGTAATTGTCAATTGGTGAAAACTTGTTGGGGTTCTAAACTTGATTACAATTCAGAGTGAATTAGATTTGATTATAACATGGTAAATATTTCTCAATCGCATGTTTACATTAAACAAAGTAATATAATCTTACTAATTAAAAATTAATATCAGACAAACACATATATCTTGCCTTCGTAATTCCATTATTCAATGACTAGGAAAACAAAATAACATATACTTTGTATTTTCCATAACTCAACTACATTTCAACAACTTATTTTTTTTAAGATAACTGTGGTACCAACTTTCGCACGCCTTTATTTCCTTTCTTCTACTTTGAAGGTGGACATGGTGGCATCGGCTTCCCACATAGGCCCAAATTTCCTGTTTCATCCACACAAAAAGTGAACACAATAAATTTGTTTTATATGTATGTTTATTTTAACTAAAATTAAAAAGTATTTGGAGCATATGCATGCTCATAATTTCTATGCATTCTAAAAATACTTTGTTCTAAGGCGATTTAGGAATTTAAATAAATGAATTCAACGTTATATTTAAGTTCCCACCACTAGTAAAAACCATTACACTTTTAAAAGTATATGATCCAAATTTACTATTTGTTACTCCCTTCGTCGGAATTTATGGGAAGGAATTCAGAATACCAGGATTAAAACACTTAACTTTGAGTTTTGACTATGAATTCGAGTATACATTCTTCAAAAAATTTGAAGTAAAATTTATTTATTTGGAGACTATTCAAAAAGTACAAGTTAGCATAGCTAATGATTCAAAATCCCCGCAAATAGTACCACCTCACATAAAATGGAATGAAAACAAAATTGTAATAATTTTTCACAATGATTATATATATTGCGTGTAAAAACGGTGGATTCAGTTAAACCCATTGATTATATGCTTCTTTTTTCAAAGAAACCTATAAAATATAACCAAGAACATTTTTCTTCAAGGAATACTGACCTTCAAATGAGCTTGCACTTTGGCTGCTAAGTTGAGGTGGTATTGGACCTTCAAGTCTATTATTTGCAACGTTTACTCGTAAATCCTGTTGAGCAAATGCCGGTATTCTACCATCAAACTGATTATCTTGTACCTGCAGCTCAACAAGTTTTGGAATTCCCAATAACGACGTTGGAATCTTGCCAGTAAAGTCATTATTCGCCATTAAAATCTTCCTCATGAACAACATTCCTGTGAAAATATCATCTGGCAACTCACCAGAGAAATGGTTATTTGAAAAGAACAAACTTCTCAGTCCTGTAAGTTTGCTCACGTTCGGAAATGACCCTTCAAAGTTATTGTTCATAACACTCATAGTACGTAAAGAAGTTAATTGGGAAAGTGTGTGGATATCGAGATTCCCTGATAATCCCATGGATTCAAGACGGAGACCGAAGAATTCTCCGTTGAAGCAAAGCAATCCGCTCCAATTCGAAACGCTGCCATTGCAAAGCTGCACCAAGGGATCCCAGTTGCTAAGTGAGGTGGTGTTTGTGAGTGAAGACTTGAACTTGAGGAGGAGAATGGCTTCAGGTTCTTGGCTGGAAGATGAAGTTGTCAGACAAGTTAATATGAGGAGAGTGATCGCTAACGGATGGTTTCTTGCTGAAGAAGCCATCGTTGTTGAATCACATTAGATGTGGTTAAATAAGAGAGAGAGAATATGATGGTGTTCGAAGATGAAAAATGAGTATATAAAGAGAGAGACAATATATTTGCTTGCCAGTTTGATCTTATTCATACAATTTGGCATCATCCAAGCGGAGAAAATAGAGTTAACTCAACCCCGAAAACTAACTTATAGACAAAAAAATGTTCAATAGACATAAGGACAAAACAAACACATCGTTCAGGCCTGTCAACTGGAGAGTGAACAATGTAATCAAAGCCCAACATTGGGGAACACAATATATAACAATTACTAACAAGGATAGATTGGCTCTGATTCTATATAAAAACAAGAATTGGAGAAGAAAATATATGTAGTATCTTCCTCTACAGATCTAATTATGTGTCCATATATAATATATTGTAATAAAAGAAAATAATACATACACAGAGACTCCTATATACAGTTTAACTCCTAATAATTTACTATTTACTATTTAACTATCCCTCAATTAAGAGTTTCCAAAAGGTCTTGCCTAAATTCATTTACCCCTTTCAGCTTTCCCTTGTTAAGATGAATCCCAAATGGAAGAGCCACAAAAACAAGGAAAATTGGGCATTTCTTATATGTTTTTTTATCTTTGGTTTTCTGATAACAAACACAATTATTAACTTAACAAGTTAAAGGATTGCACTATGCATTACTTTGTTAGTATGAAGGCAAAACATTCATATTGACAAAAATTGAAAAGTGCAGACTGCAGACCATTAGACATTAGCTGCATAGTGACCAACACAGTGAAAAAATTCTTTGTTAATCTCGACAACTTGTTAATGACATGAAGAGAACAAAAATATAATCATGTGATAAACGGCTATTTCTTTCTTGTTTAATGAATGGTGCAGCAACAGCTGGGCTCAGACTAAAGTTACTGATAAAGAAAAAGTACTTTCGGCAGTTTGGGAGGTCGATAACTAGTAGTTGAGATTGTTAGCATATATTTCATTTTAATGATGACAACATCTAATAACTAAACAATATAGGATCAAAGAATAAGGACGCACACTGCCCAGAAAAGGAAATCATCCCCAGACGACTGGACAGCGCAAGCATAAAGAAAAAGACACAATCCTAGAAGATAGTCAAAGCAGTTGTAGTCAGCAACCAACAATCAAGGGAAGCAGAAATGTGAAAGTCAGCAACCTTGTAACAATCAAGGAAATCAGAAATGCACAGCATCAGCAGAAGGAGAGAAATCAGCAATCAACAATTGATGCATATGGTGATCCGAACCGGGATAAAATTCTCTAGCTCTATACTTTGGTTTTATTAATTATCTATTATTTCTTTACTATTACTAACCTGCAGCCACGTCGAGAGTCAGCTATCCGATCACAAAAAAAATTCAATTCAAACCCCCTTGGGTTTCAGAGATTGTCCGCTAAAAAAGACTAATACAAAATTTAAATTTGAAAGGTATTGTACGGCAAAGAACTGTTGCAATAGAGATATTGTAACAAGAAACCTGATCCGTAGCTTCTCTAAAGTATGTAACTTGAACCATTATGGCACCAATTCCATGTCTACTCAGGGCAATGCGTTCTCCCGTCAGCAGTCCATAGAGCAAGTCTAAGGTCGAATTTAGTAACACTGATGGAAGAAACAAATGGTTGGTAAATTTTTCATGTTCACACTAACATTATAGGTGTGAAAGATATTACTCCCTCTGTCCAACAATACTTGTCCACTATTGATTTTGCACACTTCTTAAGAAACTATAAATAGAACGGTAATTTTACTATATCACCCTTTGATTATAATAAATACAATGAGTATAATGGACATTGTTGGACATCCCAAAATAGTATAATGGACATTGTTGGACATCCCAAAATAGTATAATGGACATTGTTGGACATCCCAAAATAGTATAATGGACATTGTTGGACATCCCAAAATAGTATAATGGACATTGTTGGACATCCCAAAATAGTATAATGGACATTGTTGGACATCCCAAAATAGTATAATGGACATTGTTGGACAGCGGGAATATTTGAAAGACTTAAATGAATAACCAATCAATTTTACTTTTGCATATTACATGATCAATTCTCACTTAGACGCTCATCCAAAATTTATAGAAAACTATGCAAGTTTAGCTTCAAGAGAAAATGTAGGGTTCTTAATACTGTGGGATCACACTGGGTATGTGGTTGTTGTTGAAACAGATGACTAAACAACATAATTGTTTGTTTTATGTAGTTAGTATTTATTCCCGTCGTTTCAATTTATCTGTCTTAGATGAATACAAAGTTTAAGAGCATAAAGAAAACTTGACTCTTGAAGTCTTGAGCTAAATGTATGTTTAACATACCAAAATAGCCGTTTCAATTTGTGGAATTAAACATGTCATTTCTACAACAGTGTCATCAAGGATAAAATGAGAATGTTGGGAGTTAAGAACTTACTGATATAGAAAGAGACATTTTTTCTTAAATAAAGAAAGTAAGACACATAAATTAATACATAAGGGAGTACTGTATATATACTTTAGAAAGCATGTCCGATACATACCGTGGAAACTAGCTACTCTGTTTCTTTTTATATTAGCACTTCTCTTCTTTTTAGTTTGTTCCAAAAAGAATATAGTAACACATTTCTCTTTGTCCAAAATATAGTAACACATTTCTATATTTGGAAATTCATTAAATTTAAACTTCTCTTTTGACCCTTAATAACCTGCTCTTAATAGTTATAGAAATGTTATTTGCACATTTAAGATCACAAGTACCAATTGCTCTGTGTAAAGAGATATTTTTTTACTTTCTTAACTTCAGTCCAGTCAAACAACATATAAAATGAAAGGGAGGGTATTTGACAAGTACAAACCTCTCTGTCCTTCAAAGTCTATACCAGCAATCTTCATCTTCTAACATTGCAGCTTCTTTATATTTGTGAGCTTTGTATCAGTTTGACAACTTTTAATTGGACCTGTCAGATAAACTACGACAAGGAATTAAAGTGCAGAGACCATATTCTAGTTTCTTTTTGCTGATACTCCTTTTACCTTCAACTGCAACCAGAAGACCACTGAAATTGAGAGGACATGGTGAGAGGGTGATACAGCTATGTTTAACAATCGATGAACACAGAAATTGATGAAGGCAAACTGGGGGGGAGGGGGTACAGCACCCTGTCGTGTCTCTAATGCAATAAAAGAACACCTTGCATTTCTTGCATCATAGAGAAAATTTAACCATTTCAAAACTTCCTGTGATCCTTGACAATCCTGGTTACCTCATCATTACATTGACAAAGATCTAAGTAAAAGCATGTGATGATTAGTCGTCACATTACAAAGCATGCCATAATTGAAAATTTAAACTATTAAGGTTAGTTATTTTTTGTGAATTGCATCACAAAGCTGAATAAGGGTGTCGGAAATTTTTCCGAGGCAATCGATAAGTTGGTTGCCTTGACTTCTGATCAAATGAACGCGACCAACATCAAAATTGTTCAAATCAGCAAGACTGCAATCTCTATCATCCATTGTATTTCCTTCAGTTATTGCAGTGATCATTTCTGCATTTTCTCTAAGAGTTGCAGCCATCATTTCTTCTGGATTAACATTAAACTGCTCAGCCTTTACCTTACTAACCATGCTAAGGTTTGGAAGTTCAGTCATTTCCTCCGGACTGGATGTCTCGCGCTTTATTTCTAAACTTGAATTATCATACCTTGGGGCTTCCAAATTTGCATCTATGCTAGCTTCATGCTTTATCCCCATCTTGGATTGCTCATACTTCCTGTTTTCATTTAAGATGCGTCTCCATGGATTCAATCTTTCCTCCATTTTGTACCTTTTTGTCTTCGTCCTTCGCCGTTGCCTTTTAGGACCTATGGTACAAGAATGTTAACACATTTAGAAGATAGCCAATGTCGTACACAAGATTTTTTGTAGGCAGTAGCGATATTTGAAAAAATAAACAAATGAAAATTGATATAACATTAAATTAATAAAAAACTATTTAAAGTGTAATAATAAAACATAAATCAAGTAAATTACTACACAAATTGAATTCTAGTTCAACTAGTCTATTTTATCCTCATTTGACTAGGAATTGGAGGTTGGAGATTCAAAACTCCTTAACAACATTTACGTTTATCACAGGCAAAAGTTACTGAAAAGGCCCAAAAATCAAACACAAAACTGCGCTTGCTGAGGTTTGAACTTGGGAGCACCACTGCACTAGCCATGTGCCAAACCAAGGAAGCTCATTTTTCAAGCAGTGTCATTTATGTTATTTCTAGTTATATTCTGTTCTTTTCAGATTATTTATATATATATAATACAAAAAATTATAAGTCAACAAAGCAGTGTCGGTTGACACCCCCTTGACATAGGGTGGGTCCGCCCCTGAAGATAGCGAAAAGTCAATTTTCTTTTCAAGAGATTGCTTTTCTTTCTAAATTCTTCTTTATCTTTGGTATATACTTGCACTATATAACAAACCATGACTACACTACAAAGTTTGTTTTATAGAGTGCAGGATGGACAGTTGTGCTAATTAATTCTAGAATGCTACTCCCTCCGTTTCAAAAAGAATGCCTAGTTTGACTTGGAACGGAGTTTAAGAAAAGAAAGAAGACTTTTTAATCTTGTGGTTCTAAATGAAAGTTATGTCAAATGTACCAAAATACCCTTTAATCGTGTGGCCTTAAACATGCCACGTGAAAGTTGAAGTTAAAGTGTTACCAAAAAAGGAAATGGGTCATTCTTTTTTAAAGAGACTAAAAAGGAAACTAGGTCATTATTTTTGAAACGGAGGGAGTATAATAATGATGAAGATCTGCAGTCATTAACTTCGGCAAATGACAAGATTCACCAAGTCATTTTGCACTAAATCAGGCAGCAGATCCCAGAAGATAAAATTACAAGTTCATATGCTCACTTAAATGAAGAAGGGAAAAAGAGAGCAAAGAACCATATTCATGGCTGGTTAACTGAATGCCGATTAAAAAAAAAAACTGAATGCTGACATTTGCATTCCAAGGAATCAACCCCTTCCCCTTATTAATGGAGGAGAGCTTGGTGGCATACTTAAAACGCTTACCCGAAATAAGATACATTTTATCCTTATGACCTAATCAATGTTTTAAAAAGTGGAGGTGCAAGAGGCCCAAGTTGTGCGGACTCTTCACTTTCGATGCCGCACCCGTGACTGATTCTCCAATAATACACTGCTTTTGGAGAATCGGACACCCACCCATGGAATTTTTTGAAGAGTCGAGCAACATAGCAAGATGCGCAAGGCCAACCACTTTACTTTACATTGTATGAGGCGTAGTTCCCAAGCATTTTACTTTACACTGTAGCAGATGCCTGCTGTGCAAAAAGAACAAACATGAAACTGATCACTTATTTCTGCACTATAGCTTTGCGACTAAGATATAGAACCTATTCTTTAATCTCTTCAAAGTCAATTGGGTTATGCTGAGAACAATTAAACAACTGCCACACTGCTGGACTGGAAAGGGCATAGGGAAGGGAAAGCGGAAGATATGGCAGACCTTTCCTGCGTGTGTTTGGTGGCTGATTGGAAGGAGAGGAACCAAAGATGTTTTGAGATTAAATATGAGAATATATACACTGTAATACAGATGTATTTCCCTTTTAGATATTTGGTTTAAACTAGAAGATGTCAATACAATAGATAGGATGATAGAATTTCTCAGCTCCCTACAGTAATTGTAAAGGAGCTGCTCTGTATGTAATTTTTGGCACAATCTTTGTGCTTCATTTATACAAAATTAAGTTCCCAAGATGTGGGACATAAGCCCAATGAATATTTAACATATTTATATACTTTTGATAAGGTAATGCTGATATTGTTTTTGTTGTTGTTGCTTGTAAACATAAATTACAAAAGTAAGTTTAAATTACATAAATGTTTTAGAAAATTCCAAAAAAAATTAGAACGTACAAGGAAATATAATATAAATTTCCTATTATAAGATGAAATTATAACCATTTTCTTGTCAAGGCAAAATAACTGCAACCGTATAAAATCATTCTTCATCAAAATACTGAATTTTGGTCAAACATTTTAACGTATTATTTGTACAAAAGTTGAACGTCCGACATTAGTTTTTAAGTGAAAAGAAAATCTTATGAACAAATTGTACAATAAAGATGAGCCTCCATTAATTAGTTTCTTCATCTCTTAAGAGCCAATTAGTTATTTTTCCCAAACACCAACGAATAGCCCATTAGAGTTGGATAAGTTAAGACCAAAATGTTTTTTCTCGTTTCTTTGTAAAATCTCTCAACTTCAATCTCAAGGTCGCTGCTTCTACATTTGGTTTCTCTCTGTCCATTGGCTCTTGAAGCCGCTGTTACCACCAGTCATTCCAGTCGTCTCACCTACAGCACACTTTTGCGATCACTAATCCAATCAGTCACGTTCTTCACACCTATATTCTTTTACAATCAACTAGATAAGGTTGTATATTTTGAAGGAAAAAAATAACCTAATCTAGTTGCTCGTAAACGAAATATAGTTGTGAAGAATAGGTTGTATTTCATTACTATTTTCTTTCTAAACTGGGTCATTGATAATGTTTACTTGGGCAATTCCTTTTATGGATTTTTCTCCTTCTCTTCCAAAAGGTCTAATTTAGATGTGGATTTTGTAATTGCAAGGATTCAGCAAGGTACGCTCCTCTCCAACAAGGGGCTAGGTGAGTCTTGGAATATGCTCAAACCTTTGGAGCACAACTAATGTATCCACTTCCCAATCATTTAGGTTTCTTTTGAACGGGAAGTTCCATACCTGTGTTGACCATGCTCCTTCTACTGTTTTCTCTTTACATAGAACCAGGCCATAGATGTTTGGAGAGAGATTTTCCAAACAAGAATTAGCAAGTCATTAGCCCTCCCAGAAAGGTGTTCTGCAACCATTAACTAACCTAGTGGAGGTGTGAGCCTTCATCAGAAGCCAAAGTGTTCTTATGGATCTCAACAAAGGGAGTTTACTTCCTTTGTTATCCCCCATCATATCTAGCTCTTATTATGCCTACCCAATAAGCTTGAGGTTACTGAGAATATCTCCACAGTCCACAGCAACTTCAATTTGAGTGCTTAACTCTGCCATTTCAAATTCCTGATGCCTAACCCACCTTGTTTCTTCCCATGCATCACCTTGCACCATTTAACTAAATGGAACCCCTTATCCTCCTCCTTTCCATTCCGCACAAAAATCCCTCCTAATCTTATCAATCCTCTGTATAACCCTATCTGGACTGGGGAATAAAGACATCATATATATTGGCAGAGCATCAAGCACTGAACTAATGAGAGTGACCCTGCCCCTCAAGATAAGTATTGAGCCTTCCACCCTATCAGTTTCCTTTCACACTTCTAAATTACCAAATTTCACATTCCCTTAGAATTTGATTTGGCTTAGAATTGAATCAACTTTTTGACTCTATAAACCTTTTAAGTTATAATTAAAAAATCTCCACACACATCAATCAATCAATTGTGACTCAATCCCAAACTCTATGAGGTTTGCTATACAAATCCTCAGTACTCATCAACAATACTCACATAGTGGAACTGTGTAAGAACTCTTAAAAAGAACCAGATGCTAGACCAATGGTGGCAGGTTGAATCAAACAGAAGTTTTTCCTAACATTATTCAACATATATAAGAAAAAAAAGATGATTAAATAAATCTTTCCCTTGGGTAGTAAAAATCACAGAGTATCAGGTATGTCAAGACTCAAGAATACTACTCCACTAATCCCTGTCATCTTTTGTTACGTTGCAGGTCAGCCAGTCTAACCGATGAGAGGTTTTTGTTCCCATTCATATTTCAGTAGCTGGTCTAACTTCTTTTCAGCCTTACTTTAGCCAAGTGCCTCATTATTTTCTTAACTTCAATCCTTTCACCAACAAAAATCTATCAATAACAGAGCCTAGTATCGTTGACTCTGGCATCTCCCCTCATTCTTAGATGACGATTTTACCTCTATATTGATCATATAGTGTTGGAAAAATCCTTACAGACAAATTTGCCACAAATTTCCACATTCCGTCTGAAAAGTTCACAGGCATCATAAATGGAGAGTTCTTATCCCTCCACTTTAAGCTCTCAATTCCTTTGTATTTCAGTTATCATATCATTGATCAAGTTTAAGATAATCAAATTCTAGGCTTAAGTTTGTCTTTGACCACATTTTACACCATTTAGTGACATCAAAAAGGTTATTCAGAGTGAAAAATCGTCAAACAGATCAAAAAATTTAATGGATATTTAGTGGGAGAAACTTTATCCAGTTTTATTACCATCTTTGTTTGGTAAAAAAATATTCTGCTTTTCAATATCCTTTGATCTAATAATCTCTTAATCTAGACGGTGTATGCACCAAGGGGTGCTAAGAGCAAACTCGATCCAAATTCTGTTTGCTCTTGAAAATATTTCTCCCAACGTACTTAATAAATTACTACTTTACTGAGGCATGCATATATGATAAGTGTTTGTTATAAACTGATTTGTCCTAGTACAATATCCTAGACACCCAACATATGGAAATTCAAGTTCTTAATCTAGTTTGTCTATAAATTTACAAAACAAGAGCTAGTGAAATCCTGATTAATATCACACATTTATTGAACAAATTATTCACACTGCAGTATGAACTCAAATCCCGACTAAATCATCAAATAAGATTGAATCAAATTGAATCCAATCTTAAATTTCCAAACAGGGTCATCAATTATCGGCACAAAGTTCTCTTTAATGATCTATACTAAGACTTAACCAGAGGACTCTTCTAAACAAAAGCACACCCTTCATAATTTTTTCAACAAGATTGAACCTGAGGAAATGGGGAAGGCAGAGGAACTAAAAGTGCCTTGCTAATAGAAGCAAACAGCTATTCTTTTCTAAAGAGAAGATACAATAGAGTCATTTTGAGACACAAGAAATCCATATAAATTCCATAATGTTTTTGATACTTGCTAAAGTTGCATGTCATATTTCTGATAAACAACAAATTCATGCTACTTCAAAAGTTGATTAGAACGGAGGCAGTACCAATTTCCAAGAAAGCATTATTTCCTTGAACCTGCTGTGCTTCCGGGTCGGTATCCGGGTCAGTTTCAGCACCGCCGCCATCCTCACCCTCTAAACTCAAATACCTAGCAATCGCATTAAACAACTCGAAATCGAACTGCTCCGGCAGATCCAATTCCCTCTTCCTCTCCTCATCGAACGAATCCCAATAGGCCGATTCCCAGGGCTTCACTTTATTGTACTGTTCCAACATAGATTCCCACCTCCGTTTACACTGATTCAAACTCCGATTCACGCCCAGTGAGTTGCAATTGTGCACGGTCGACTGCCATTTCTGGAAAGAGGCTAGGGTATTGCCGCATTCAATTTGAGTTGCTTTCATTTCGTTCACAAGGGTGACTGACTCATGTAATGTCCAGTCAGGCGCCGCCTGTGAACGCGTCCGTAGTGAACCGCCGCTCCTTTCCATTTTTGACGCCCACTTTTTCTGAATCTAATGCCTGACGCTCAACATAGCTGCTGGAATTGGGAAGAAGAGCAGTATGAAGAAGAAGTTATATGATCTAATGGGAACTTGTGCTCAATTTGTTTGCTTGCTACACTAATATGGAGTATTTACACCCTTTGACAGTGGCACACTCCGACGTTCGGGTTCGAAAAATAAAAGTATAAACATGTAAATAAGCTTTTAAAAATGGGAATTTTGAATTTTTTTGGGTTTAAAATCACATTTTTAGCACGTTTTTTAAAGTAAAAAAAAACACTAAAAATAATGAAAAACAGAACTGAAAATTAAAAAAAAAAACACTTTCATTGAAATTCGAACTAGTGACTCACAACTTAATTTTTGGGGGACTTGCCACTGCGCCATCAGCTTCTCTTTGTTATTTAGAGGGTTCAAAATATATATATCTATAGAAATACAAAAAATTACTTTATATATACAGTGTAATTTTTTGCCGAGGGGGTTCGGGTGAACCCCTGGAGACCACGTGGGTCCGCCATGCCCTTGGGGGTGGCCTTGTTGTAGGTCTCGAGTTTGAAATTTGTTGGTCAAAAGCAAGGATTTGCTTTCTGGATCGAACTTGATTTACTTAATGTGGATTATTATTTATGTAATTCGCAAGTTATTGCGCACATCCAAAAAATAGCAATAGCAAATTTCCCATAAAAAAGTTTTATATTTCGATTAACTCTCAAATAAAACGATTCCATAAGGGCTAGGGAGTGAATGGTAAATCAACCTAAAAACAATTTATTTTATTTTAATTTTAAAATTTTGAAAATAAATTTATAAAAGAATTTGATATTATTATTAACATGTCTATTTAAAGATTTTTATAAAGATTAACAATTTTTTTAATTTCATCCCTTCAATGCTACTATCACTATCCACATTACTAGTCACCCAACCGTAGCCGCTATTTTTCATTATCAATTATCATCATCATTGTTAATAATAATTATTTACTATCATCATTATCATAATAATTACTATTATTAACCATTGATCATCCCATAACACCATCATTTATCACGACCATCCCAATTAACTAGGGATGACAATGAGCGCACGGGAACAGAGTGGGTTTAAGGCTATGCGGGTGAGGTGGGTTTAAGGTTGTGTGGGGCGGAGAGGAATGCAGGGCGGGTTGAAGTGTTTTTTTAAAAAAACTAATGCACGGCGGGGCAGGTTGCGGGTTTATGAGATTTTATGCGGGTTCAGACTTAATTTTAACGTTTTACATGTGATAAAAGTGATGGAGCATTATCTATTAAGATAGTTTCTTTAAAGTTACTAAAATATTCAAGATAGTAAATAAAAATAATTCAATCAAAACTAATAAAATTTATTACCTGCTCCACAATTGACCTAAATAATTTCATATAACTTTACATTAACATACATTGTTCACTAAGTTAAAAGTCTCAAGTTTGCCAACATAAAGAGTGAAACATAAAATTTACCCTTTTGTTTTTCTTCAACAAACACTAACCTACAATTTCTGTTAAGTCTTCTCACATTTTATAGGAACCTATTTTCCCTTCACCAAATTTTTACTTACCAGTTAAGTCTATTGATGATTATAATTATAATCAACTGCAGCACAACCTGTCTTCTTTTCCTTCTTTTCTTTTAGTAATAAACTTGAATAAAGTTCTTTAAATTCACTTCAGTATGTCTTTATATTGCTTCTTTGGTTCTGTATAATTTCACCTGTGGAAGATGGTCTTCGAATCGGGCATACGTTGAGCTAGTCGTCATCTGGCTCAGCCGAAAAGTCAGGCTCCTCGGGCTTCTGAAACGTAGGCATGTCCATATCCTTCATCTTCTGAACTCCTCTCCTTGTGTGTGCAGCAAATCTTGATGCCAATATTGTAACTCCAAGGTTTTGCTTTACATTTGAAGAGTTTGTTGGTGTAGTCTTCGTTTGTTGATCATCCTCATGTTCACATTCACTTTCATATGCTGATTGGTCATCCTCAGGAGCATAAGACAAGGACTCACCTCTATAAAGTTCTTTGGCCAGCTTTCTCCTCTGGAAACGACGCCAAGCAGCTTGAACAAAACAGGCAGCCCAAGTTCTCCAGTGGTGAGAGTAATAACGGAAGGTGTGCTGTAGCTTCTTACTATGAAGACGTCTGAATTGATTGGCTACAAACTTGAGATCCTCTGCATGTAATGCAAAAGCTTCTACTTCTGACAGCGCTCTCACTGTTCTCGTTGATGAAGGCAAGTTAAGAGTGGATCGTGGCAATAATGCCCAGGCAAGGAGTTCCTCACCACAAAAGTCACCTGGCCTCAAAGTAATTGAGTTGAAGAAGCCTGTTCGCCCTCCATTTGTAGTTGAGCTCTCTAATGTTCCTCTAATAACAAAGAGCATTTCAGTTACTGGATCACCCTCACGTACAATGTACGTTCCTTGAGTACTTAACGAAGAACTCAGACGTTCACATATGGCATCAAGCAGTTGATCATCCATTTGTGAGAAGAAGGGAACCTGCAAAATAGAACAACTCAAGCAAATCAAAGAAGAAAGAAAAATACATTTCACTTGTTTGAGATTATTGCAGTACCAAAATGCAAGTACTTCGCGTCATTTTAATAACTATTGATATTACAAATTTGGGGTGTAATGAGAGAACTCAGAGAGAAAATGACTTACACGCCGAACAAGGTCTAAACATAGGTGGCGTTGGATGTCACGGCGAAGGTCTGAAGGTAAAGCAAGCAGGATAGATTCTTCATCTACTCCTCGAGTGGCAAGCCACTTGTACTGTACAAAACGTCTAACACGTTCTTGTAGATCCTGAGGAAGTTGGCGATGCCTCATCCATTCTTCAGTATCTCGTCGCTTGAGCCTCCATTCTTCAAGCCTCACAGTGATAGATTGTAAGTATGTCTACATTAATAAAAAGGGAGAAATTAGACTCGAGTTTGAAGAACTTTTTTCAAATTGAAATGTACAAGTTCACAGTATAGAAGATGTAGAAAGAAGCATTCTCTGTTGTAGCTGCAAAAACATGAAAAACTACTGGTCCAAATCTGTATTAACCAAAAAGAATCAAAAGAAAGAGAGTCCAATCTTCGCCAGAATTCAAAGTCGTAGTCTATGAGGATTTCAAATGTGATATTAAGACAAGGTTTGTCACTCATACCTGCATGTTTCCAATCAAATGAGCAAACAGAACTAGCCCAAAAATAGCAATAAGAATGGCAAATGAAGTTTCCCATATATATGTGCTTGTGGTCAAGTTCTGGCCGTAAGAACTGCAAAAGATCAGAAAACAAAGTGCTCAATATTCCTGATTCATCACGCTGCAGCAAAATAGCACAATTTTGCAGATAATCGTAATTACCAAAGATATACTTAAGGAGAGTTATTCAAATGGCTATTTAATATATAATTACTGATTTTGAATAATGACTTAAAGATAGCACCTTATACACCATAAACAAAAACCACTTTGGACCTTTGAGATATATGCAATTGATATTAAAGAAATTTTGGCTTGATAATCGAAGATAGTAGTGGCTGAGTAAATGGTACTATTGGAAACCATACCTCAAATTTTGTAAACCCCACCACAAACAGTACAAGTACTTCTCAAGAAACTTAGAGGAGACAACATTGTTTGTAACTGCATTTGCAAATATTCCAAAGTCGAAAATGGTTGAGTTAGAAGGATAGCAGTTGCTGAAAACTTGGGTGCTGTTCACCCATGTTATCCTGTCTGCATGGTCTGTAGTACCACAGTCGAGGAAACGACTGGAGCATTGTAAAGGCCTAAGCTCCTTTTCACAAGCTATTTTCCAGCATGTAGCATATCTCTCAATTGACAATAAATACCAGGAAGCACCAAGGACCTACAATAAAAGCACCCTGATTCACTATCCAAGAGTAACAAAAACTTTAAGAATATTTCTATTTGTACAAATAGCAAGTACCTAAATTTAAGGACGGGACTAAACTTACATGGCTTGCCAACATGTAGAGTAGCAAATTGTAAGCGGCCCCTGCCCAAGCTGTTTTTGTGACAACCCCGGCAGCTTTAATAATTTGAGAACTCAATGGGAAAATCAGATAGAGTCTTGGCAGATATTGAAGCAGAACTATTAATACAAGAGCATTGTTGGTGTGATCGGAATGAGAACTTCTAATTGCTGGTATGATGAACCATATTACAATCTGCAAAAGAAAATAGCAGCTAAATCCACAACTCACAAGTATTTCTCTCTTTTCTGAACATGAAGATGGATTATACTCCAATGCTAAATTACTAATTGATTTATCATGACTTGTAATGTAATTGTTTCCTATAATAATTAGCATCAACATACATTCTAATAGGTTAAAAGAACAACCACAAAGTGACATAGCTGAATTTGTTCAGGCGAAAACAATGTCGGAACAAGAATTTTCACTAAGGGGGTCAAAATATAAAGAAGTTAACACACGAAGAAGTCAAAGGAAATTCAACATCTACTCATATATACATAAAAGATAATTTTTTAACCATGTATAAACAATGTATTTCCGCCAAAGGAGGTTCGGATGAAACTTTTTAGGAGAAGACCATTTATCCATCTATAAAGATAGTTTTTCGATACAATGTTTAAAATGCACAACAACAATCAAACTAACCGCAATTTTCCACTCGTCAAGACATGTTATACTAGCCTAATTCAGGATTATTTGTTCTTCGATCTTATTAAAACAAATACTCGACTATACAAAGACAAACTAAAGCAGACTTCATTCTTGAAACATGATTATGAAGTACCTGAGGAAGAGGCAGAGCAGCAATAGCATCAATGAAGAATTCAGACTTCAAGTACTTCCTTGCAATCAATTTCTTATCCATAACAAGTTCACCCCTTCCAAACACCCTTGAACTTCTTGAAACATAAGCAGTCCTGAACTTAAATATCACATGTAACAAATAGAAAACATCTGCTACTGTTCGAAAACATGTAACACTAATCCCAAGATTCAAGTCAATTGTCATACATGAAGATTTCCCCCTATTCACCACTGATGGAAGGTAAAAAAACAATGGATCCATGAAGAGAGCTATCAAACAAGAAAACAAGAATACCCTATTCCATTGTATAACAATTTCACTTCCTGGATCAAGAATTTTCTTTTTCCCAGGTACATAATTTTCTGGGAAAACCTTAAATTTCCCAAATTTAGGAACTTTACTAGCTCCAACTTTGTCAACATTTTTACCATCAAGATACAAAGGTAGCTGCTTTTCAAGAACATGGTTCTCATTCTTCTCCCATGAACTTTCAAGATTCTGTTTCCCATCATTATAAAACCTAATAAAATCCTCAAAAATATTAACAAAAAAAAAAAAACTAGAAATCAAAAAATACAGAAAAAATACACTTGAAAAGTTTACCTTACCGTCTTGGCTTTCTTGAACTCCATCATAACCTTTACAGACAAAAATACCTACAAATCTTCAATACACAATGCAGAAGCCAAGAAAATACCAAAATGGTAAAACGATTGAATTTTTACCCTTTTCAAGAAGTTCCATTTCAGAAGATGCTATAAAATAAAAATGTAAACTTTGCTCAAAAATACTCACATGGCTGAAAAATTCAAGAATTTTCTCAAATGGGGTTTGAAAGTAACCATAAAAATGAATGAAGAAAGAGGAGTTGAAGTGGGCAGAAACAACTCTGGTTTTCTGTGTATATTTAATTTATAGGGGTTGACTTTACTTGGAAGATCACAAAAAGACAAAGAGTATATTAAAGAAAAATAGATAAAAACAGCTCAGAATATACTAAAAAAAAAATTGATGCTGCAAATTGGATATGGAAGTTCAAGTGAATACAGTCGTGCAGGTCATAATTGAAGACAGTTTTTTCTTTTTAATTTATTTTTAGAGAAAAGACAGTCAAAATTATTTTAGAGAAAAGACGGTCAAATCGATATTCGACAACTAAATACTCTCTCCATTTCATATTAATTGAATTTTTAAGGTATTTTTTATTTTTCAAATTAACATAATTGTTCAGTTTTTAAGACTACGTTTAGAGTATTCTTCCAATTTTAGCCTTCATTTGGATTTTCAATGTGATGACTTCAATATATTTGACAATAATTAATAACGGTAAAAATGAAAAACTATATTCAATTTATGTCTTAATCTACTTTTCTTAAAGTGTGAAACACCTCAAATATTCAATTAATATGGAATGGAGGGAGTATGGACGAGTGAGTATATATTTCTTCTCTCCAATAATAGTTATTTATTATTAACTTGATCTACAATATAAGTATTAAATTTAAATGTTTTGAGAAATGTATTAGATAGGGTAATGTTAAATAGCCAAAAAAATTGGCCAGAAATTTTAAAAAGTCTATAATATCCTTTTTATTTTAAAATAAACTGATCTTTTTTTCATTTTTTAATTAAAATGTATTAAAGTTAAAAGGGTAAAAATGTTCTTCGAAGGTAAAATAAATAAAAATGAGTAAATTATCTCTTGATTTTTCAAACTGGATAAGTATTGTTAGACAACTATTTTTAGTGTAATATAAAAGTAAAGATAGACAGAGTAGTAGTAAATGCTTCGTCTGTCCCATATTAATTGATCGCTTTTCTAAAAATTATTGTCCCAAATTACTTGATCACTTACTAAATTAAGATAAAATTAATTAATTTTTTTCCACTTTACCCCTATAATTAATATCATCATCATGCTTAATGTTTTCATAATTTCTTTTGATATCTATCAGTATAGATAAAGAATAAACTAATTAAATTAATTATTTGTATATGATTTCTTAAATATCGTATAAAATAAAAAATGATCAGTTACTATAAAACGGAAGGAATAGTATCTTCTGCAAAATTAAAATTAAAATAATTAGGAAATCAAGAGTTGCATAAAATTATATTAGAGAATTTTTGGGACAGATGAAATGGACACCAAAATCAAGAGATGCATTTAGTAAATGCATCAACTACTCCACCTAGGTGGCATAAACAACTTACTAAAAGTACTATTGGTAACTTTTAATATGGGGCATCAGCTAGGTTAAGAAGAGAGATGGTTGCATGAATAGAAATGTAGTACTACTCTATGTTAATAGAATAATATTTGTTCATTATTGACTTTATAAATTTATCAAAAAATTATATATAAAAAAGTAATTTTATTATTATTTGTTCACTTTTACTTGTCACACTTTTACTTGATACACCCATTAAAAAAATAATTAATGATACAAGTTTTTATCAAACTATCCTCTATTAAATGATGTCTTGGAAAATAATTATTTAATGTTGAGGGTAAAACATAAAAAAAATAAAAAAATCTTGATATGTCAAAAGTAACATGTAAAAATAAAAATTTATTTTAAAATAAGTGATCAGTAAAAGTGAATATAATAAATAAAATGTCTTGAAAATGTAATAGAAAAGTGACTATAATTAATGATAAGGTTAAATTAGAAACTAAGGACAAGTATTGTTAGACATCTCAAAATAGTATAGTGAATAACTGTTGTTTGAACGGAGGAAATAGTACTTATTTATATGATAGAGATTCTAGATACATCTTGTGAGTCTATAATATTTTCTGTTTCAAAATAGTTATCACGTTTCATTAATGGTAATTTTTTCAACTCTAACACTCCACACCTACCACTCACCCTACCCGCCTCTACCAGTGGGTGCTTTGTTAGTTATTACTCACTCATGTGTTATGTTTGAGGATAAACAATAATAAAATTAGCTCAGAAAAGTATGATTAATTCATTTGTTTAAGTTTGAGCAGATATAATGACATGATTATTTAGTTATTCAATCTATTTTAATCCGTTTAAATTTAATTTATTTGAAAGTTGAATTGATTTGAGTTAAGTTATAGGGATAAGGGTATGAAAAATACCCCAATTTTGGTCGGATTTGTTGTTGCGATACTAAAACTTTCAAGAGGACCTATTACCTCCCTAGACTATTTAATACTGTATTTTAAACATATATATTTGCCCACGTGGGGACATAAAAAATAATGCAAAATTATAAATAATAATGTGTCCACGTGGACACATATATATCTTTAAAATACACTATTAAATAGTTCAGGGGTAAAAAATACGGTATTAAATAGTCTAGGGAGGTAATAGGTCCTCTTGAAAGTTTTAGTATCGCAACAACAAATCCGACCAAAGTTGAGATATTTTTCAGACCCTTATCCCTAAGTTATATAGCCAAACTAACCTATCATTTTCGTTAAAATAAAAAATCAGTAATTGTGACTCATTATTTAACTAATCTTTATCCAAGTAACTTTACCATAGGATCAAATAATAATTCATTTGTTGGTTTAACTCATTTTATTTTGCCTAAATTCAGTTTGAATAGCTCATTTGAGGTATTTTTTTAAATATATTAAAACAGATGAAGTAATCACAGGTCCCACTGAGAATAAGCCCAAAATCAACTTTTGTGGTTTTCATCTGTCAAAACTCAAAAGGAGTATATTCATATGTCGGTAGAGTCCCTTTTTCTGTGTAAACATAAAAAGACAATAGCTTGTGTTAGGTGTGACAAAATAATACAATGTTATAATAAAATACTAATGGCACAAAACTTGCCAAATGTCCTTATAATATTGCTCGCTACATACGTAGACATTGCAATTTTGTGGGAATCTACAATTCGAGTGGAGACTGTACAAGATGTGTTCAAATTAGGCTCAATCCTAAACCCTAGGTCACGCTAAAGGGCTCGAAAATTCCATAAAGATATCAAAATCTCTAATATTTCATAAATTCATGGAATCTTCATAAAGAGATTAAATTCAAATCATCTTAGTTCAAGAAATAAATCACAAACGGCTCTTGAATCACGGATAAAACAGAATTATACCCGCACTATTTACTATTTATCAATAAAGTTGTGTTTCTTCATATTTTATTTGTGATTGCAATTTATTTTTTGTCACTTTAAAATTTGTTACAAACAACACATTCAAAATGATTTGCATAAACTTGTTTTATAATAATAATAAAAAAACATTTACATATTTTGATTAAAACCTATCACGTGTTTGATGATGTGACGAAAATGTGTCCTAATTAAGATGATCCCACTTTTCATTAACAAATTACAATTGATCATGTAATACAATTTAACTCACTAAAGAAAATAATCAATAAACTTTGTTACTATTATAATTAGAACAATCTTTTTTGGGATAATGTTAAATTATTTTCAAATAGAGAAATAATAAAACATGATAATTTTGAGACATTAAACAAAAATGTGATGATCAATGATAAGTAAAGATGTAAAATTCGACTATATATATATTTTTAAAATGTTAAGTGATTTTAGCTTTACAATGTTATCAAACAACAAATATACAATACTACAACTTATTATTTGAGTCACTCTCAATTATTTTTATATCTATAAATGAAAAACCGTATGAAGCATTATTCGTTTATGAATAAATATGAGTGTCAACAATATTAATTAAGAAATTTGACACATAAACTAGTTGAACGTTAGACATACTTAAGATGTACAATCAACACTTTAACGACGTAAGTATCACATAATTAAACCCCACACGTGAACCTCTAAACATTTTGCAATACCCAACCTCAAGACAAGTCCTAAAACTGTCTTTTAAAACACTGGTGTGAAGATTGATTTTCACAGCTCGATAAAGTTCGAATTAAAACACACATGCGAGTTGAGGTTATGGTCCCACAAACATAGAAATATGATCGAAAATTGGGGCGTAAAATCCGCCTGATAATGTTGTAGGCACGTGCGAGGAAAACATAATATCCGCTAATCTCTCATAAAGTTTGGAATAATAGAAAATACATATCAGAAAAACATAAAAAATGAACGGAAATAATTTGAGTAGATAAAAAAATAACCAAAAAAAGGAAAAAAAAATAGTCATTTTTTATTTTATTTTTAGTATTCAAATGCATCTCCGATATTTTATTTTCTTGCAACTCAGCTCCTTCAAATAGTTTCATATCACAATATTAGACACAAGAATTTAATAAGTACTCTTAGTAAATATAGTTGGAGTTGTGAGTTTTTTGTATAAGCCTATGAGGGTATATTGTTACCATATGATTCTCGAGAATTAATTTGATTAATTATTGAAGCTAATTGAATTAAATTAAGAGTTAGCTATTTAATACGATGGGAAAAGTATTATAAGAATATGATTTTAAAAGAAATATCTTAAAATATTGATAAAAAATCACACTCCAAAAATGAAACTTGTCAGATATTTTAGGAAGAAGGGGGTATTGGGTTGCTTAATGAATTGATTTGTCAACCTATAATGCGGGAGGTTGTTGGAATGTATACGTTCACCAGTGACCACAGGACCAGGTCCCTCGACAGAATTAAGGTGCAGAAAATAAATAGCATAATGTAAAACATGCACAAGAGTTTTACGTGGAAACCTCCTTGCTCAAGGGAGTAAAACCACGACCTGTTACACAGGATTTTTCAAATGTTTTCACTAATCTTCTCAAGCAAAAGTGAAACACAGATTACAACCACAACAGTGAGATTAACACCTTAATCCCACACTAAGTAATACTCCTATTACTTAAACGAGCCAAAGCAATAATCCTATTACCTACTAAACCAACTAACTCTTAGTTGATCTAGACTTTAAAAACCCTCAAGGCTAACTCTAGCCACCAACTCCGATCTCCAAGACAAGAGCTAAACAAGCAGCAACTCTGCTACACCACACATCAACTACCTCT